AAAATACATCGACAATGCTTTATTTAGGTATTTCACATCAGTTCGTGAAATTTCTTAGAACAGCAAAATTGGTGATGTAATAATAAGTTCAGTGACGTTACAAAAGTGGTCTCTTAAACAATTTGTCCAAATAAACAACAGGTATTACATTCTCTACGCATCACTCATAGTCTATCATGTGTAGGTACATATGTATATGGGCTGTGGCTAGTCTATCCGAAGGTGTATAGTTTGTGTAAGAAGTGTATCCATATATCATATACCTACATACTGTTCGACCCTTTTTTTATATCACCTCTAAACCGAATTGATGACAAAATACGACAAATGCAACTTTGAAAATAGTAAAATTCTAAATAAAGTATTCACAAACTGAAGCTATATCTGAAACAAATCTGAAAACGGTTGTTAAGATAAAATAAAACGTCTTCAACTGATTGTAACGTCATAATAGTACAGGCCACGGAGCAAATAAATGTCTAATGCATGTATCCTACAGGGGGGTACCACATGGACACGTGTATCTTTCATACGCTTTCTCATATTGGGGCACGTACTTGAACCCATACCCAGACTGATTTCTGTAACGGCATTGATACCTGTACTCCGACTTATTTCTGTTACGGCATTGAAACCCGTACACAGCCATCCATTCACATACATTTACCCGTACTCAGACTGATACCCGTAATGAGGCTGACATTCTTGTGTTATCAGCCCAAAGATTTACCGAACTTTTAACATTAAATGATTAGCGAATGATTTGCTGATTTTAAGAGACTTAGATATATATAATAGTACCTAAATGTCAAAATAAATAACAAATGATTTTGATGGTAGACATTTTCCGATCCAACTCTTGTCGCAATATAAACAAATGTTGAATATCAAATTAAGTAAGTAGGTCTGAGTTATATTTAAATATTTACATAGCTACCAGGAAATGAACTGGTCTAGAATACATAGAGAAGTGTATAAATTGACCTGCCAATATTAAGGACGGATAGAAAGCTGTCACATTCTTCTGAGTAATCACCCTAGATCAAGCGAGCATTGACTTGCTTGCTAGTCTGTTTTAAATGCCAACAATGCACTGAGTTAATAGTCGTAGTATATATAAATGTTCATTAAACCACTATCTGTTGAGTGTTTTTGAAAATATACCACATTCATTGCTCATAATACCTTCTTGTTATACATGTTTGTTACTTCATTTGCACTGTTCACTTTTCCATACCATATAAAATTTGATAACATTTTCCACTAAAAATAAATTTGGATGTTTATCTGGTTTTACGGGTATTGTACTTTGCTATACAGAAGCATAACTTACCTACGGTTATTCAATGCAGAAGCAAGTTCAATAACAATAGTATCAATTTGTGCATGTTGGTCTCTACTCATCTACCTGACACTAAGTTAATAAAAGTATCATTACTGTGTCTGAAGAACATAGGTGTTAATCTACGTGATACCCGTACTGTCGATGTATCATCAATACAGTTGGATGAAAATCCTCTTGTCCCGAGGACGTCACAGTTAAAGATGAACCTGGTAACAAGACCGTGAAAATGAATCCACACTATAAACACATAGACCAGGACAGTTGCCAAATATTGTAAACCTGTTATATTCAGCTACACTGTTAAAGAGGTCTTGGAGGGTCACTTGGCATAGGCAGAAATACCGGAAGACCGCCTGCGTTTGGTCGAGTATTTAATCCAACTCCTCTCCAAACATTTGGACGAAAGTTAGGTGAGCTGCGAAAAGACGCTTGTGGATTTTGTGTATCTCGACTAGGAGGTCGTTTAGTTGTCACAGACACAGCAAAGGGATTTATCGCATTCATATCCACGACGAACGGACTACGGCCATTAGGGTTGACACGGGGTCTTGGTCTTTCGACTAGAGAATCAGCAACACCAGCAGGTAATACCTCATTGTTTTGCTGTGAACGATTTTCCTGTGTTTCATTTCGTACTTTGTCACTGATAGCTCTTATTAGATTCGTGTTGAATCTCCGTCGTGAGTTCCGGATCATTTCCCTCAGGTCGTTTTGTAAGCTTTCACTTATCCCGTCAACACCAACAGCACTACCCGAGGCCGATCCACCTTCAATCATAGCACAAACACAGGTATCAGCTTAATGTCAGCTTTACTTAGGATACATAGTATATCGAAAAGTATTAAGGGTTTTCATTTGTTTAAAGATCTATCTAATCGGAAGCAAAATCATATCCAAAGTAAATAAATGAATAAAATAATCTCGTTCAAGTTAAATGCAGGATGTGTGAAAATGTTTATCAGTTCTATATATTAATAAACCTTTTACAAAAGGTAAAATGCGTGAAACTGACATTTAACACAAACATAGCTTGTTTAATGTAGGATGTGAGACAGTGGGTTCTTAAATAGTTATATATCAGTTAAAATAATCGAGGAATAAGAGTATCTCTTATTGCTTGATGAGTAAGAAGAGGACTATTATTCAGTAGTAAAAAGGTTAAAGGTGAAAAGGAATTGAGTAAGATAAGAGCTAAGGACAGTAAGTTTTATGCCATATTATCCCCGTGACCATGGTTACAATACCAACTCAGTTTTCTAATGACTCATCACATTAATGTCGGGTCTCTATGGAAACATGATGATGCGTTTAGAGTATTTAGATGTACCTCTTTGTCGCGCAAGCTCATTTATTTGATTCGGTGTTGACGCCGAGGTTACTGAAAGAAATATTCAAATTTCAGGATAAGTACAATGAATGCAAGACCGTTAAAATGGACAACTGCGAAAATATCAGCATTTCAGTATCAGACGTGAACATTAACGAGGTATTGCACATGCTGTTAAAGTAAGTAAGTGTATCATAAATCGATATAATTTGAAATCGTTTTTTCAGTAGTATTACACTGACAAAAGACCAAGCAGCAATGGAAATATCAACAGAAAAATGACAACATGAGCACATAAAATGATGATAGAGAAACGAGCAGGAATCACCATCAATTAAATAACTAGCATCAAGCTCAAATAGAAACATTCGAAAACTGAAATAAGATGTATGGCAAGCTCCAAACCTAGCTAGAGTAGTGGTGTAATGTTCACTTAAACGTGTTGGCTGTTGAGCTTAGTACAAGTCGTAGCTGTTAGGACCGGGTTAAATCATATTGAAGCAGAATCTCACCTTGTTAATCAATACAGCGTTTGTCTGTGTAAGTACTCTTCCAGGCCGTCCCTTGTTACGTCATGCATGGCATTGCTGAATAGTTGTTATAATATTGTGATACACTGTTTATCTGTTACAACTATCAAACGAATCATACGCATACGGCCGCTGTGCCGAGGATTGTTTGGTTAATGTTTCTATTAGTCAGTTCAATCGCCTAAACTAAATCTTCACCAATTTTTGTGTATAAATAGCGACACATTTATTTTCAAATTCTGTCTCACACATCTTTGGACGGTACAAGTTACATTAAATCATTCCAAGAAAGCAGGGTGTATTTAAATTGCATCTGGTATATTACCGGTGCTTAATTAGATGAAATTAATTGTTTCGAACATATGTTTGTACCACACAATACCATAACATACTTTGCACAACGACATTGACATTATTTGTATGTAAGTACTGTACTTATAGATCATAATGTATTTCAATTATGTTTATAGTATCTTCTTCTACCTGCTCTTTATATTTTAATTAATAACACTGATGTATACATCTTTTTTCACTGACTGTTTTGAATTTTGTATCTTAATCACCTTGATGTTTACGGTATCTCCCACTGACTGCTATACTTTAATATCTTAAATAATCACCTCGATATTTACAGAGGTCCTGCAGTAGTCGGTGCTATACGTTTATGTCACAATGTATTACCTTTTGATATGATAGTATTCATCTCAATGTTTAAAGTATTCTCCACTGACTTATATACTTTTCTAACGTTAGTAATTACTTCGATGTGTATAGTAATTTCCACTGAGTGTTAAACCTTTGTATCTTAATTACCTCATTGTTTGCAGTGTTTTCCTCTGACTGTTATACCTTTATATCTTTAGTAATTATCATGATCTATATCGTTTGTCCATGCACGGTTGTACTTTTATAACTTTAGTTAATACCTCAATGTACCTCGATGTTCGCAGTATTTTTCGTTGACTGTTATTTCTTTATTTCTTATTTGGTTACTTATATATTTACAGCGTCTTTCCATTGACGACTATTCATTTGTATAATTAAAATTTACCACGACGTTAAAAGTGTTCACTTCGATGTTTTCAGTAATTTCCTCTTACTGTAATTTCTTTATATCTTACTTAAACGTTTTTCTATTGACGACTATACCGTTATATCTGTTCATTAGCACATCGATGTAAAAGTGTTCACCTTGCTGTTTACAGGTTTGTTCGTCTGACTGTTGTCTCGTTATATGTTACTTACCTAAATGTTAAGCGCGTTTTTCCGTTGACGACTTTCCCGTTATACCTGCATTTTATCATCTCGATATTTACAGAATTTATTCAGTCACTTATGTACCTGTATATATTAATCTATAACATCGATGTTAACGGTATTCGGTAGTGGTATCTTCTCGTTGTTCTTTTAAATCAGTACAATTGTTTCGTCGTATATAAACGCTGTCTTATAAAATATTTTTCTACAATGCATTTTTACTTAATTAGACTCTGTCCGAGTTTGAATAGGTAAACTGTACCAGATGTAAAAATGATGTGACTCGCATTCCCGTTATGTTTCGATTTAAAATCAAAAACAAAGAATATATTAATTATCACTGTAAAATTTAATGATATCAAGGCAATATGAAATGCTGTTGAAAGTATAAGAAAAAGGTAACTGTTACTATGAAAACATCGGGAGAACTGAGAGAACTTCAAAACTTGAAGAAGAGTCAAATATATATATATTATAAATTAGAAAAATTTACGGATGAAGAATCTCCTAGAAGAGATGAAAGTACTAAAGACTCGTTGTTGAGAATTTTTCTTTTTATAATATAGATATAGATATATATATAACTTATATACCAAATGTGATGTATCTGAATACTAATGAAGAAATGTTTAATGTTACGATAAAGTAAAGGGCACCTATTGAACAGCACAAAGTTTTACATTTCTATACTAGATTGGTTTAAATCTTAGTTTCGAGGGATTTCGTTTTGAAAGATATTGAGGAAATAATGAATTTCAACATTATATTTTTTTTCAAATAATGGACAAAATTACAATGTAAGTAGCAAGTAAAGCAAAGCAATGAACATATATTTGATAAGAATAATGAATTAGCAAGCAGTGATAAATGAAATACAGCATAATATTTACACTTGAAAATATACACGTAGTCTTTTCATGTTGTTTACATCAAAAGGCACGTGTACAATCACTGCACTAAGATAATGTACATATACGCGCGCACACACATACACACATTACACACAACCGTGTATTGTTCATGAATACATAAATACACACATGCATTATAGCCGAAAATGATGATATCGCACTCTACACCAATGGAGTATTAAAGTTCAGGGAGGCGGTGACAGTCGGAGACGAGTGATGGATGGTACTAGAACGTACCAATGGATTTACTGTAACACCTGTTTGCAAGGTTGACAGCATAGGACGATTTGTACGGACACTAGTTGTGGCGCCCATATTCATGAGAGATAACTGGGAACTCGATATGGCAGTGTCCGCTATCATAGCTGTGGCGTTCATTTCCATAAGATTTGAAGGTGGCGGTGGTGGCAAACCGAGCAGCCCAAAACTTGAAGAAGAGTCAAACCCTACGAAGGGAACACTGTCGGTGGATGTGCTTCTTTGTGTTACCCCGATGGTCGAAGATGGTGAAAAGGATGCTCTTGAGGTTGGAACATTTGTTCCACCAATGAAACTGTTTATCATTCTTGGGTTGGCACTTGTCATAGATGATCTTCCTCTGGTTGTTGAAAATAATGGTTTTCGTGTTACTGTGGAGCCTGAAAACATTGATCGGAACAAAGGCATATTTGGGGTAGAAGGAGGAATACTAACACCTCCTGCGTCACCAAATCGGGTGGTTGATCTCATCCTGCTTCCTCCGAATCCGATATTTTTCTCTAAAGTCAGAGAGCTAGTTGTCCTCAACGGTCGACGAGTAGTACTACGGCTAAATGGTGTTGTCATCTTAGATTCCGCAAACTGGCGTGTAGTTCCTTGGAATTTTGGCTGTGTTGATTGACTTATTAATTCAGAGGTCGTTGATTGAGTATTGATGCCAGACACTTGTCCAGCGCTGGAAACTGGTGTTGCATTAGTTACACCTAGTAACGGCGATAAACTTGTAAAGTCATTCTTAAATGAAGATAGAAGATCGTTTGGTATATTTGCCAAAAGATTTGAAGCTTCAACTCTAACTTTAGCTGCTCCGTTTATCCTGTTTCTAACGAACTCACTTCGCATAGTGTCGAATTCAGTCTTTCTCATAGAAGGAACTATTGACTGAGCGTCGGATGCTATCTGTCCTATTCCAGTGTTTGTTTTTTTTGTGGATGCAAGTGCATTTAAATCGTTTAGCGGATCAACCCGGTTTGACTGTCTTTCTAACGCACCAAACACATTCTGATTGACTAACGATTGTTGAGTGTTAACATTTGTTAAACTTGGTATTGGCTGTGCTCGGGATCCAGAAACAACGGAACGCCCTGTGGTTATGCCAGAACCCGTACCCTGAACACCGAACTTTATACTATTCCTACTCGCCGGTAGTTGAGAAATACCAATTTGTCGAAATCCCTGATTAGGTTCTTGGTTAAAAAGAGTACTACTGTCTGTTACAACTCGTAGCGATTCTATGTTAGGGGTTTTGATAAGTATTGAACTGAAAATATTTTGATCTTGAGTAATTTCGTTAGTTTTCCCATTTAACTTTTGAGTACCCGAAATATTTCTATCGGTTTTATTATTGGAAATCACAGTTTGATTAGAAAGAATAGGAAACGACATGTTATTTGATTGGCTATTTGTTGTGTTGTTTCTAATGTTTATTTCCCCTTGTGAATTTGTGCTATTGAAATTTGGTTCTCCTATCAAAACGGGATTTATGGGAGCAGTATTTGCTGATCTAGATACAAATACGTTTTCCAAAGCATTACTTGCCCGTATATCTACAATTCCCGTTTTAGGGATGTTTATGCTTTCGGTCATACCAGCGAATGGAGGGGGTGGGGGAAAGTCGAGCTTGGAATCTTTCGGAACGGCGGGGACCTGCGGTGATGTGCTGAAAATTGCTTGCACTGGCTCCTGACCTGAAATAAGGTTTACGATATATAGAACAATAATTTAAGAGAAAGCCGTCACAAAGTAGGTGTATTATCCCCCTCCAACGAGACAATGAACATGTTTCCATACAATAACTATTGCGATGAATGGAAAGCAAATATAGCAAGCATGTAATTAACATCGATACAACACGTATAAAAGCGAACGTTCATACTTAATGATTATATCTATAATATAAGACGTACAGGTGATCATTTCCGTGATTTATGTATATGATATAACAAGCACTGAAAAGAGTATCCATACCTGATATATGGGTATGTAAAAGTGGCATAGTTTATGATTGTGTGTGATGTAAGACTTACTAACGAGAATAATCATTATTGATATTACATGTTCAGTAGAACATATTTATGTTTAATTATTGTATATATGACTTGGGAAGAAGATAATAGTATTGCGTATGATGTGCGACTAACCCTTGCGATTGCTCTTAGGTGATACAGAGGGATAGACGTCTGAGAACCATTTCATAAAAGGAAAGCGAACGTAAAAGGAAAGCGAACATTTAGGTGCATTGTTATGATAAAAGATAGCTACACAATATGACTCAAATTAAATAAACATAAAGCATTACATGATGCAACATATGCGTGCTGATTAAGCATTAGCGAACAGAAAAAGCAAGTGCGTGTTAGACGTTAAATACATACCTGGAATTGCACCTGAAGCTGAAGGCGAAGCTGAAGGCGAAGCTAAAGGCGAAGCAAACTTTCGTGCATCAACAACTGCTTGTGCTACTGTGTTTATAACTGCAGTGGGAGTTAGAGCGCTTTTGGCAGGGTTAAATTGGTGCGAAAAGAATTCACTCAACACTTCCGATATAAGTGTCTTCAGTGTAGAAATATCCATCATAACATTCTGCGGTGTACTTTGTGCTGTATGCGCCAAAGCCTTACCTAGTGTCGCGTTGACGCTGGACAGCGCACTGTCGACTAAGCCTCCTGCAGCTGACAACACTTCAGCTTTAGTAGAAGTATTACTGATTTGGTTCAACCTTTCAACGAGTCCCGAGGTGTTGAGAGTCGTCTGTATTAGACCTCTGACAGCTGCTGAAAAATAAGGTATCATTTTTACTTTAGTTTTGATTTCTTTGTCATTTTGGAATAAGCATTCATTGACGTGCAGAAAACACACAATAGAAAACGAAAAAGAAGAAATCGACATCAGTGTTAACGTTTCATCGACAAACTATTTAAATGAGATACACCATATATCATAAAATCGCCATCATGTCAAACTTTATTCGATTTAGTATCGTTGCATACAACACGGAAATACAGCAGAGATTACAGCAATGTGAAGTCAGCAGCAAAGACGTAATGGACCAGAGGGGAATTTAACACTTTTCTTACATTGACAAAGTATCTTAGCTGTATCCCGATAAAGAAGAATCTACTATGTATACCTGTAGGCATTACTACATCCGTGATGATCGAAGCAGTTTTGAATGCTGTTGTCGCTTGTTCCACAACCGGTTTTGGGTTTTCTGTAGTTGTAGGTTGTTGGTTCATTGGTGTGCCTGCCGTAATGTTTGCGTTAGCGGCGACGATGATATTGGGTAATGAAAGTGCAATCTCCACAGGCAGGCCAGTCAACTGTTCTGGTGAACTAACGCCAATCGCTAGAGACTGAGAAGGTATCGTTTGGGGTATATCATTAATGGTGTTAGTAAATAATGTGCCGTTACCAGAAGAAACAGAGCTATCTACATAAACTGTACTTACGTTAAGTACTTCAGATGTTGTTTTAAGAGTTGGCAAGTCCATAGGGACATTAGGGGCTTGTGGTGTAAAGGGGGCTTTAATTTGTATGGAGATGTTGCTTGACATTACTTTTGTGGCGCCTTGTGCGTCTACAGGGGCTAAATTCGGGACTTGTCCTTGCGGTTGAATGCCGATTATGCTAGTGGCCGCATGAATATCTGCGGTTTTGTTAGATGTGTTAATTGTGGTTTTAGAATTGGTATTTGTAATCGATAGGACGATAGGAGGTGGAAGGTTACCCGAAGACTGATTGAATGACTCTATTTGTGTTAATACAGAGCTGGGTACAGACTGGGCTGGCTGTACGGGGACTATGGTTTCGGGAGGAGCAGTTGCTACGACACTAGTTACACGTTCTCGATTCACATTCAAATTAATATTGCCGACTCCGTTTTGAACACTTGTCTCGTTAGACATAATACCTGTGCTCAAACTTGCCACGGGGTTTTGAATAAACGTTTGTGATGAAATGGTGTCAGATTGCAAATTGGTATTTTGCAATATAGTTTGTCCCCCTGAAACACCAGTTGACTGTGCTTGGTTTAAATTAGCGTTAATATCATTGACTAAGTTTTTAATATTTGTCCTAGTTGATAATGGATTTGTGGGAATATTTGAAACTATTTCTGTTATACTGCCCGTAGCTTGGTTTGCGTTTAATGTTATTAGATTAGGTGTTAAATTGTTGTTGCTATTGACAATTGTTTGTTCACCTACAACGCTGGTTGATATTGTTTTATTTATTTTCCCATTGACACTGCTAATTATGTTGTTTTGAATAGCTGGTTGAGGGGGAAATTGGATTGTAGGACTATTTGGCTGTATGTCCGTGATTAATCCAGGTGCTGGAACATAGGTCTGAGATGTAATTGGATCCGTAAGTAAAGCATTGCTTTGAGTATTGGTTTGTACTGCATTTTGAGTATTTGCTATGTTTGTATTTCCTGTGATCTCAATTGTAATGGGGTTTGGATTTCTCGTATTCGAGATCCCTTGAATTGTATTTTGTACAGAATTTGATACGTTCGTTTGCCCTCTTTGAATATCATTTAGAACTACGTTCGTATCTAGAAAGTTGCGTTGCTCCAAGTTCTGATTGGCATTAAGAGTACCCGCCGGACGTCGTGTTTCAGCTAAAATTACGTTTGAACTTCCAAAGGCATTTGGACTTGCAAAGCCATTTTTTATGTTGCTTTTCACACCTTGTCCTTGAATTAGATTCTGATCCAAAATTTGTTTTTTTATATTAAGTTGTCCAGCATTTCCATTCTGACTGACTATTGTTCCTACATCAGGAAATTTAGCCTGGGTGTTAATGATTTGCTGTCCTTGTTGTGTTTGTTTGACGTCTATCGCATTGTTGATGACGCTAGATCTGAATTGACCAAGATTTGCGTTATTCTCTATCACAGGTATTGTACCTATTTGAGTTTGGGAAGCACCTTGATCTATTACAGAAGTTAAAATATTTACTTGAGCCTCTGATGCAACCATGTTATTAACAGCATTATTACTAACAGGCTGACTTTGTGTGATAGGCAGATTATTAACCGGAAGCTGATTAGTAACGGCGTTTATGGTTGGAGTATTGACAGACTGGCTTTGATCAAACGGGCGGTTAACTATATCAATACTCTGCTGTGCTGAGGCTTGTAAATTAGGCATTATATCGTTAGTGTTGCTTGCTATACCACCTAATTGAACTGAATTGAAAGTCGATTGGTCAATCTGCCCTAGAATATTTTGCTCTACTTGTGAGTTGACATTTGTAGGGATTGCAGACGCTGGCAATATAGGAGGCGGTAGAGACATTGTACTGTCTACCACGTTAGTTGACTGCTGTGGGAAAGCAACGTTGTTTTGTGGTTGTACAGACTGTGGCATAATCTCTAGAGTATTACTCTGGGCTGGTATTTGAGATAACCCTGTACTTGCTGTTGACTCTAAACTGCCCTGAATTATCTGTACAGTCTCGGGAAGGATCTGGGACAAACCTGTCTGAGTGCTTGTTGGTGAATCAATAACGGGTCCCGTTGTAAAATCAGTTGGAACTATATTATTTAATTGCAAAGATGCTGATGTATCAACAAATGGTGGTTGTGGAGAAGGTGTCTGTGTAAGTATTTGTGTCATGCCAGTTTGAATACTAGTTGGAGATTCAAAAATGGATGTTGCGGCTAGACCAGTCGGCATTACTTTACTATTTTGCATACTTGCTGATGAATCGAACGCTGTTTGTTGGGCAGAAGTGGTCAGTGTTGATGTTTGTGTCCTGTCCATTCGCGTACTGGCTGGTGTTTCGAAACCGGGTTGTGGTGTAAGAGCAGTTTGCATGTTTGTTTGAATACTTGCTGATGTATCAAACCCTGATTGGATAGAGGTTGTTGGTTGTATCGGTGGCATGTCAGTTTGTATATTTGTTTGCATACCATTAACTGCAGATGGTTCAAACTGTGTACTGCCTGTTTGTGAACCTGTCATAAATGTATCTGTAGTCTGAATATTAGCACTAGTATCGACAGGAAGTGACTGAGCGCCAGAGGCAGCCTGAAAGACGGTGCTTGTAGAGCCCCCATTAGATTGTATAGGAGTCTGTGGAGCTGTTGTCTGTCCAGGGATTACTTGTTGTAGAGGATCAACATTATTTACTAGTGGCAGTGTTGCTGGTATTATCTGTGTATCTAATCTGTTAATATCATTAACACTACTTGGGAGGAAAAGGGTTCTATCCTGGAGGGGTGGCGTTGCTGTGTCTACAAATGCGTTGTTAGCACTAGGATCCGGAATGTTGTTAGGCACAAATTGGTTAGGATCTGGTCCTCGGTTAGTAAACTGATCAACACCTGAAGATGTCGGATTTTGATCACGCATCACTGCAATCGCTCTCCTGCCTGATCCCGATTGGTCCATGCTTGTCCTTCCATTCGACTGGTCTAAGCGATTTGTTGATTGGGTAGCAATGCTCTGACGAGACCTTGTCCTAAAATCGGGGTCCAGTGGTCGTCTGTCAATGCGGTTTATATTATCACCTCTCAGAGCATTACGCCTTTCGTCTAGAATCTGGTTTCTGACACTGCTGCTCCTTAAAGTTTCCGGCTCTTGCAACAAACCACCTTTGAAAAGGTACAAAGCCATATATTCTTGTTGGCAATATTTATGAGTTTGTCAGCAAACAGACAAGTGCTCTACGTTGTATTAAATGTTATAGACAATAATTTTAATAAATAGTTTCACTGATTAACTTAGTTTTATCACATGTTAATATCGCTTTATAATCGATAAAGCTGAACCACATAATGCGAAAAATGACAGGTTCTGGTGAGGATTTCACCGGATACGTATTTACTAAATTTTATTTTCTTTAGTGCAAAACGTTTTTAATTTAACTACTTTTTTAAGTAAATGTATACATATATGCAATTACTGCGTAATGATAATGACGCTAAGAACTGTGTCTTACCTGTTTCCCCGTCCCGAGGACGCAGCACCACAATAGACTGTTCTCGTCCCACAGGTGGACCAGTAGAGCCTGACCAGGGCAAAAAGAATCATCAAATGCACATTATCATAACGTTAATCTCAAAATATGTATCAACTCTTAATTTGCTTTAAAACGGGTGCTGACATAAAGTGTACCACTTTAATTATCAATATACTGATTAACATATATCTATTAACACACAAAGTTAAGTCAAATGTATGTATTACAAATAAAACAGTCCATTGTTTAAACAAGTGTTGTAAGTTGGGATGAACGTTTTAATCATGGAATAGGCACTCGGAAGTAATCTACTTCGCTTACATACTGTATACCGGGAAACTTTCGCTCCGTCAAATTTTCGCCCTTCACCGACAAAGTCCTTATTCGCCCAGTGTTAAATTCATCCTACACCGCCAATAGTGGAACACATTGGACCCCAATTGCATCACATACGGTACCCGAGTTAAGCCTCAGTGTAGACGAAATAGTGACAACGCATGTGCCATCGTATACGTAATTTCTTTTAGAACTTTCGCCGTCATGTTAAATTCTCCTTCAGATCGGTAGGCGAAAGGGACGAAAGTTAAACTGCGGCGAACGTTTCTCGGTAAACATTTTTTCAGTAGAAATGAACTAATTCGTTAAGGTATAAATCACAATCAATCGAATGACATACCACAATCCTTCGAAATAAACCTTTCAAGTAAACATATTCGTTGCAATTTGTTTTTAAATATAATGTCATTTACATACAATACTCATTTATGTTTTGTGCTTAACTATTTATATATTAGTTATGGTTCACAATATACATAACTATATATATTTATTAGTTATGAATCACAAGGTACAGTTTGTACATAACTATATATATATCAGTTATGAATCACAAGGTACATAACTATATATATATTAGTTATGAATCACAAGGTACATAACTATATAAATATTAGTTATGAATCACAAGGTACATAACTATATATATAATAGTTATGAATCACAAAGTACATAACTATATATATATTAGTTATGAATAACAAGTACATAAATATTACTGATCCCTAAACCACCCAGAACGTATATGTAGCATCTTTTACCTCTGCCGGTCTGTGGTCTCGGAAGAAGATTGGCCCGACGGGCGGCGTTGATGATTGTCCGCAGGTTTAAAGGCAATGTGTTATTCTGCTGCATGCGAGCTCTCACTGTGATAAAGTATTCAAACATTTAATGCAATACTCCAATGTTATGTTTAAGACATGCATTTATCATAATATTTCCCCCTTCGGAGCCCTCGACAAAACCACATTGTATCCTAAACACTTTATGTACAATACAGGGGTTGTATATGTAAATTTTAACTTGGGTAAATACCGATCACAGTAATTACCAGAGAGATAGGTACCACTGAGTTATGATATTTTTAAGCATTACCATCAGGATTTTCAGATAATTGTGCTTACAAATTGCCTCTGGCATACTTACATATACAGGATTGAGATAAACACAAACAGTATGATTGTACAACCTACTTACAGAATGACAAACTGCGTAATAAATTACTAGCAATACGATAAATTACTTGACATTATCCTGCTAACTCTCTTTCGACATTTAAATAAAAAGCATACGATCGAAACCGTAAGTTTATGGACTAAACATAACGTGATAGATTATATTTATTATCGACTAAACGTTTACTTAAAGGTAGATTTTTATTATTTGTGCTAACTTTGTCCTGATAATTTTAATTGTTTTTACACTGAAGTTTTGACGTTTGGCTGGTGGAATTGATGGGAAGTTGATAATAGACAAATGACCATTTGTGGTTAATATAAGACATATCGGTTAAACATAATTACTGCATTTGAACATGATTTAAAAGAGGTGAACGGACACTGGATATACATTTGGTATATACATACATACCATAAGGAATGATGTCCACAAGTATTCCAGGACATACACTCTCAAGAAAAAGTGTCTAGACAGTTGAAAATATGATGATACCTCTACTTTATGTATATTGTACGTGATAATTTTCCTATGTGATTCACTGGGTCAATATTTTCAGCGCTTTAAGCGACTTTAAGGAGTAAAGGTGCCGCCATATCATGTGATCATTTGGAAACTACTCCACATTGTTGATATCATGACGACTTAGGACTTCAACATGACATACGTAAGCACGATATAAATAGGTCAATGTTTTGATTAAAGATTTACAATGAGTTGTTACAAATGACTAATGAACAAACCAATACAAATTTTACGTAGTAACATTATGTAATGCTGAAGTATTAATATGTGCACCGCTAATCTGTTAGGATAAGTATTCCAAGTAATAGAAATTATTAAAATTAAGCGCGTGACGTTGTTACAGTAACTAATATGAAATCTGCACGCAAGTGAAACAAATGTTAGTTAATTATCTATGTACACGCACATGCTAAACGCAAGCGCAATGGCTATTAGCAAAGACATATGATAATTTATACAATAGAACTATAGGTTCTAATACAATAATTACGTATGTAAACATTACGTCAAAGATAATAATGACCAATATAAAATGTAGTCAATCAAAGTATGATGACGTTTTACCTCTTCTGTTGAGTCGCCTGTTGTCCCCGCCTAGAAAGCGTCGTGCGTCTGCAAAAATGTGCAATGCTATATATTCAAGCATGCGGCTTGATTGTTATACAAGGCAGAAACGATACTGAAAGCCACGGTAAATAGTAAAGCTTTAAATAGGCTATATGTTAAATGATTGAGCGCATGCCGTCGTGGTGTTTAGTAACACATTAGTACTACTACAGTTAAAGGATAATTAACATAAAATGATTTTCGATTAAAATAAAGGAAACAATGGAGTGTTTACATTTTGACATGATTTTCATAACCACCTGCCAGTAAGACTGTATGACTCTAAACTGACCTATTAAATATTTTCTATAAACAAATATAGAACTATTGCTGCGAGCAGTAATATTTCTGTATCTTATATTGAAATATTTCGAATCAGAATAAAAATTCCTGGTAAATTTCCTTTCCAGATAAAGGCAAAAAAGCAACAACGAAAAATTCCCAAAACGCAACACATATAGAATGGCCGATATGATAATACAACAACAGAATCCAACGGTACCTCAACCCCAAATAACAAAATAAACTACGTCACAAATAAAAGCCAAACAACGGTACTCTGGTCGATCCCCAATCAACAAGTTTCTTCAATTCAAAAGAGATAGCACTTATGAAAATGTAAATGAGAATGCACCAAAACCTCCATGAAATGCCTACATGATTTCACTAAGCTAATGAATGGATTGACATTAGTAGGAATTAGATGATAAACAATTTAGGGTCTAACCTGGCATTAGCTGCAACTGTGTTCTTCCATCCGGTCGAGGAATCAGAAACCCTGTAAAAACCAGACTTGTTGTTATAAATATACACAGACTTGTGTTTTGAAATATATTGCATAATCGGCTGCATTTAATGCATACACCAGTTAACAATAGTGTCGTATATATACCGTGTCGTCATCTTAATGTTTACAAACAGGAATAGAACTGTCGAATCATTACAACAGCGACATACAGTTTTATATTCTAAAGGAATTTTTAATTTCAACAAATACAAAGTCAGCATTTGACAGTCTACATTAATTATATTGACATCTTATCCATTTGCCACCATTACATTTAATTACCTACCTCATATTAAGGAAAATACGAAACAATCATGGTGATACAGTTATACTGTAGACATATTGAGAAGTACATTTTCATCAGAAGTTATTGTTAAACCATTCATCAATGCCTAGTTCTACTTACCGATTAGTCTTGGATTGCCGCCTCTTCCTGTCGTTGATCTGCCATTTTGAAGCAAATTTCTCATAGACCTCACAGCCCCCTGCTGTACTGGAGTAAGGATAACCCTGGCGTTTTCCATTGCATTAGGGGCAGTACCCGTCCTTCCTCTTTCTCGCGTGCTTGCAACCCCAACACGTGTGCTTGCTGTTCCGACACGTGTGTTTGGTTGGGCACGTGTGTTTGGTTGGGCACGTGTGTTTGGCTGGGCACGTGTGTTTGGTTGGGCACGTGTGATTGGTTGGACACGTGTGTTTGGTTGGGCACGTGTATTAGTGGATGCGACACGTGAGTTCGAAATACCAAAACGTGTGTTGGCAGGTCCAAGCCGTGTGTTGCTAGTTTCAATACGTGTGTTGGCAGTTCCAACACGTGTATTGCTGGTTCCAGCACGTGCGTTGGTAGTTCCCACATTCCTTCGTGATGTAATTACTCTACCCGAGGCAGTTCTCCTCAGTGCTTCCGTGCCGACTGTCCTCCGAGATGGGGCTAGTCTGTCTGTCCTTCTCGATGTCCCTAACCTCCCACTTGTCTCTGCTCTTGTTAACGTGCCTATCCCCAAAACAATAATACACAATGTCAAAGCGAAAGGTTTAAAGACCAAAACACAACTATATGTAGTAGAGTGTAGTATATCTATAGTCATAGTTATACGACGTTATCATAATGAGATCATTGATGATCGTAAATGCATTCCAGTTTACTAATGACCTTAATATTTATGTCAAACATTTTTTTTTTAAATCGATGTGAACATTGTGATATATTTGTAAGAGCTGTACATTAAGTGCTGTCAATATATGACGATATTATAAAAAGGTGTGATACTTACGGTTACTGCTTCCACTTAAATCTACAAATGAATATAGTAAAAAAATATAATAAACTGCGTACATAGCCCGGTCACAGAGGTGTTTTATAACATTCCACATAGTATATGTTTATTTCAAAGTAATGCTAACCTTATAACATAATCTTTTAATTAGTAATGTTTAATGCAATCATCAAAATAGGCAAGCAAGGAGAAGTTTCCGCAATATATTTATTGTTTCAGAGCAAAAACCGAACAGATATCAGTTAAATTATATGAATACGACAGGCTTTACTTTAAAAAAAGGGAATATAAGAACGCGTTTATTTGGTGTAAGTGTATATACAGAAGGAATATAAGAACGCGTCTATTTGGTGTAAGTGTATGTACAGAAGGACAATAAGAACGCGTCTATTTGGTGTAAGTGTATGTACAGAAGGACTATAAGAACGCGTGTATTTAGTGTAAGTGTATGTATAGAAGGAATATAAGAACGCGTCTATTTGGTGTAAGTATATGTACAGGAGGAATTTTAGAACGCATCTATTTGGTGTAGGTGTATGTTCAGAAGTAATATATATATGAACGCGTCTATTTGGTGTAAGTGTATGTACAGGAGGAATAACGCGTGTATTTGGTGTAAGTGTATATACAGAAGGAATATTAGAACGCGTTTATTTGGTGTAAGTGTATGTACAGAAGGAATATTAGAACGCGTTTATTTGGTGTAAGTGTATTTACAGAAGGAATATAAGAACGCGTCTATTTGGTGTAAGTGTATGTACAGAGGGAATATAAGAACGCGTCTATTTGGTGTAAGTGTATATACAGAAGGAATATAAGAACGCGTTTATTTGGTGTAAGTGTATGTACAGGAGGGATATAAGAACGCGTTTATTTGGTGTGAGTTTATGTATAGGAGGAATATAAGAACGCGTTTATTTGGTGTGAGTTTATGTATAGGAGGAATATAAGAACGCGTTTATTTGGTGTAAGTGTATGTACAGAAGGAATATAAGAACGCGTCTATTTGGTGTAAGTGTATGTACAGAAGGAATATAAGAACGCGACTATTTGGTGTAAGTGTATGTACAGAGGGAATATAAGAACGCGTTTATTTGGTGTAAGTTTATGTATAGGAGGAATATAAGAACGCGTTTATTTGGTGTAAGTGTATGTACAGAAGGAATATAAGAAAGCGTCTATTTGGTGTAAGTGTATGTACAGAAGGACTATAAGAACGCGTGTATTTGGTGTAAGTGAATGTACAGAAGGAATATAAGAACGCGTCTATTTGGTGTAAGTGTATGTACAGGAGGAATACTAGAACGCATCTATTTTGTGTAGGTGTATGTACAGAAGGAATATAAGAACGCGTTTATTTGGTGTAAGTGTATTTACAGAAGGAAGATAAGAGCTCGTTTATTTGGTGTAAGTGTATGTACAGGAGGAATATTAGAACGCGTTTATTACGTTTAAGTGTATGTACAGAAGGCATATAAGAACGCGTGTATTTGGTGTAAGTGTATTTACAGAAGGAATATAAGAGCTCGTTTTTTTGGTGTATGTACAGGAGAAATATAAGAACGCGTGTATTTGGAGTAAATGTATGTACAGGAGGAATATAAGAACGCGTGTATTTGGTGTAAGTGTATGTACAGAAGGAATATAAGAACGCATGTATTTGGTGTAAGTGTATGTACAGAAGGAATATAAGAGCGCGTCTATTTCGTGTAAGTGTTTGCACAGGAGGTATGTAAGAACGTGTGTATTTGGTGTAAGTGAATGTACAGAAGTAATATAAGAACGCGTGTATTTGGTGTAAGTGTATGTACAGGAGGAATATAAGAACGCGTCTATTTGGTGTAAGTGTATTATGTACAGGAGGATTATAAGAACGCGTTTATTTGGTGTAAGTGTATGTACATAGTATGGGTGTATGAACAGTTGTTAATATGCTGTAATGGTATGGAATGTTAGCTACACTGAGTATGTGCTGTACATATTAATGAGAGAACAAATAAAATGTAAAAATTATATTATCGGAAAACGGTATCATTTTTTAATGATGATTATTTATGACGTTAGGAGTAGCCATAAATACATTTTAGCCGTCAGTAAATGAAATGCACTTTGTTTATGCGGCAAGCAGATATGTTATCCCAGGTTTCGCGCTAAATTGCTTCATTGGATAACTCTTGTATTGTGTATTATTGGTAGTACCATAGTAGCCAATCATTACTGTACTTCTAGCTATCACAAACAGACAAGTTGTACTCTCTGTAGGAAACAATTAGTATAATACAATGCGTTTCATAAAATTCAATAGCCATGTATGTATTGATATAAGGGGCTATTATATTTAATCGCCATATATATAATATATGGTGTTGTTTATATATAAGATAGGTTTTGGCTCACACAGCACAATTTAATATATTACTTCCACAGTAACTGTTTATGAATTGTTGTTTGTCTATACAACAATAGTAAACAATTGTTTTACTATAGATATGACTGTCATATATCACAATAAAAGGACAAAAACAAAACAGCGTATGTAATAGAAGCCAGTAACAGAAACAAAGAAACACTTGTTCACATTGTTTTCTTTACTCGTTATCCGATGTATATGAATATAAAGATGTGTTCGGACAATGAAAGTATCTGTGTGCTAGTGCTATTTTACATGATTAATTATATTTTACCTAATACGTCTACTCTTAAGTGGACTCGTCAAATGATTTATGGTATGGACAGTGTTTAGATATGTAAAAATAACAAACTGTTTACTCCTTTTCGAAGAAACTGTTCACTAAATTACAAAAGCACTAGTATTCACATAACGTTGGAAACTAAGTCATGTTCTGAGTAAATAGTTCTGTGAGTGTCGAATTGTGAACAAAGATCACATTTAACTATTCAAGCAAGTTTTTTAAGCATCACAGTTTCACTGGGAAACAATTTATGGCCGTTTAGCAATAATCATAAGTAAAAAGATTTACATGTTCTATCCTTTATACCACAACCTTTCGCTGTGTATACTATACCGGAAATGGTCTTAATAAGACTGGCAATTTGCCTTTGGTCGGATCACTAACAAGGACGACGATCACCAGTCAAACACCTATAAATGCTACTAGTGACCACGGAAAGGGTTTGTGTAGGTCACTGGTGTGATACTCGAACTACCATCTCATTCACACAGTCACAAATGTCTCCAAAGTATTAACCAAAAGGTCTATCAATGGTAGGCTTAGCAATGCTATCTAGATTGGTTATGATCCATATCGTCAATGTACTACCTAAATCAGGTCTATCAATGGTAGGCTAAGCAACGCTATCTAGATTGGTTATGATCCATATCGTCAATGTTTGTCCTGCTCAATTCCCACACGATCATGAAATTGAAAGTCTCCTCACACTCAGTACCACTAATGTATTATAAATATAGGTATTAAATTTCATGTGATATTTAGATTATTGTATGTTAATTAACAGCCACCATGGTGAGCGATCAAATACAACATATAACTTACTAAAACAATAGTTAGCGAAGGATTCAAATCAAAACATTCCAAGTGTTTAAAAACGCTTTGGTTAAGAAAAAAATATAGAGATACCAAAGTAAAGAAATAAACGAAAGAGTGAGAAAATGTTTTGCTTTTTCAGTTGACATAATCAACATGAACATATGTGCAAGCAAATACTACACACAAATACATACACAGTAAACTAAACACATTAAAATCACACTACTTGAAATATAACTTAAATTCGTCAAGAAACAGCGATGTTTAATCTATGATATGTCCAAGAGACACATAGTTGGTGCATAGACATATCAAGTCAAGTTGCTTTTTAATTATGACTCCAAACTCAATATTGATAAGGTATTCCCTACAATCAAGCTACCGTATATTTCACTTCTGTTAAAATATAATACAAATACGATAAATATATAAATACTGGTTTTAACACTTTAAATAATAATAATAACTCGAGGTTTTTATATATCGCTTTACCACAACCTAGTTCGTAGGTTGTCTCAAAGCTGTTCACAAATTATTATCCGTGGTTATAGGGCCTTTGCAACCAGCCAATATCTTTCTCAACTCCCTGGGGAGCATACAGCCGATGCTGCCATTTTCGTGCTCACATCTAGCATTCAACAATTCTAGCACAGCCCAACCATGTACTCCTTTACAACTGAGTAGACTGGAACAAACGAAGTAAAGTATATTGTTCAAAGATACAACACAGTGCCGTGAGATGGCTCGAACCCGCAACCCTTCGGTCGCGATCCCGGCTTCCTACCACTAGACTACCGTACCTCCTTAAATTTAAATATAAACGTATCCCAAAGAGTTTTCGGAGTCAAGGACAAAGTCATAAGATCCATAGTGTTTATTGTCATCATTCTATCGTAGTTCGAGCCACACACAATGTGCCTATGTGTATAAAAACAAGTACATGAGTTATGTGTGATAGAAACCATTCATCAAGACATGGTTTATTATATATCTACCAGCCTTTGTTATTGATCAGCAGATCTTCCTTATGCAACTGTCAACAAAATGTGTGTTTTGACATATAAATGTCATTATAATGTGCTAACGGTATCCCAGGTAACACATTAGTCTATTAGGTTCTGTGTTCCCCATAATGAGTAGGAGGCAAGACATCAAGTTGATAGGCGTTTGTCAATCATCCGATCACCATTAACAGACGACGAGATCAGCCCATAGCATTGCTGTCGGAGGGATCAAAACAACAGAGCTTTCCGCATGTGTAGCTTACATGAAATTGACATGTAGCTGACATGTGATTGACAGGTAAGGTCGTTATGCGCGTTTGTTCCACACATATATATACGCACCAGAGAAATTAATTATGCCGATTTACACTGTGAATGATATACAGATTGTAGCATGTTCACATTTGCATGCGTTTTAACACACTATGTGAGAAATCGCTTACTGTATTACGGCTTTATTGCCTAGTGGAATATGGGCGTTTTATACACGAGACATTTCCATATAGGGTCATGAAAAAAAATATTACAAGTAAAATGTTATGTTGCAAAACATTTCTTCAAAAATATATAACCGACTACGGTGCTTTCTGCTGCACCAAAGTAAATGATATGCATGTACAATTTTTGTGAAAATGAGATGTGTAATATCAAAAAGCGTAAGATATAAATAAATACTTTGAGAATCTCAATCATTTCAAAAAAATGTTTTATATTCCAGTTGAGTGTATTTTAATGTATTATCTATTCGAGTATATTATAATACATTGATAATTTATGGATATATTATCTTAATGTTCTTTTGAGAATGTTTTCATTTCCGTCCTTTGGATTTCTTTGAGGTTATCGTCCATGAATGTACATTATTTATATATTTTTGTTTGAATATGTATTACTTTTAATTTGAAAATTAATTCATTTTCCATTTGAGCGAGTCCTAATTTTTTCTATTTTGGTAAGAATTAATTCATTGTCGAATAAAGCACTTTTTTTAATTTAGCATTAAATTTCATATATTTAATTTTGTTTTACTTTCTTTTCAATTATCGTATGTTAAATTGTTGTATTATGAATTTCTAGGACTAATAAAAGCTGACACTACTTTGAAAGGCGTACCATAACGAAACACTTCAAGATTTATGTATATTTCCAATTCTCCTGTCACGTGAATGTGATATAAACTTTCCTCGTGATATTTTTCATTACCTTGTATATAAGATCAAACGTACTGTTCAATTACTTAATCTAATACCATGAACCGTTTTAAATGGTATTGTTTCCATGTGCGTGACCTTTGATCAACTAAGTACGAATATCATATGCATATTTTGTTATATTTAACAAATTTTGGGTTATATTCCCATCTTTTTATGAAACTATGTTATGTTTGTGCACTACTATAAAACTAATAATTAGAAAAAGCATATCGATACACAAATATTGATTTATATTGAAAAACCAAATATTCGGGCATCAACCTATTGTATGTTAACCATGCGTGCATTCAAAAAGTCTTGGTTTAGATTTGTGCTGCAATTTTAAATGGTCAAATTATAGAAACCTAGCATTACAATAGTCATCAATTGGTCCTTATATGGCCATTTAACGAAATAATACGATATTCCAAAATAGTATATACCTACATAAATATACTGATAGGAAAAAGAAGCGCAATTGCCGAAACCATTGTGCTGTTCTGTCCATACTTGGCTCGCCTTTTGAAACTTTTATATGTTTCACACTGAGGTTGCCTTTTGGCTATTCAGCATTTGAAATAAATGAAGTGTGACTAATCCGCCAGGTGAGCTCGTGCATTGAAAATTCTCCAAGTCCATGATAACTTAATGGCAGAGGGGTTAGTCAGATTTAAGAACACGCCTTTGGAAGCAGTTATCATTTAAAAACGTTTCTTAGGGAATTATTCTACTCCTTGAGAGGTATAAATGTCCCAAACGTTGCTTTTTTATTATGAATGTTAGTGTTATTTCGATGTTGTGCCCCGTTTCTCACTTTGAGGGAGTGGCCCTACTTGAAGTTCACCTAGATTTATATAAAGTTTTTCGTCGATAAAGCAGACGACGCTTACCCTTCCGGAAAGTGTAGTCTTATATTTTAGGGGTTTCTATGGATTT